GAAACAATAACAAGCTGGTGGAGAAAGAAAAAATTAGAAGAAATTAGGAAAAGAACCGAAAGGTCCTTTTCAGTGTCACTTTCCATGCCACGAAAAGATTATAATCTTTTATATTGCTGTACAAGTTATAAAACATACATCCCACTATCTTCACCAACACAAAGAATGCTTGACGTCACAGTACTTGACGAACGCTTGACGTCACAGTACTTGTACATTGCTACAATGTTGCAAAGTGACAAGTACCGTGACGTCATTCCACCTGTGTCAGAACTCTTCTCGCTATATAGGCCCTGGGTATGCTGGTCATTAATACAAATTTCCCCTTGTTGCTATACAGACCCAGGGTGTGCCATTCTTTTTCGGAAATATCGTGTCGCTATACAGGCTTGGGGAGGGGAAATCCGTAATGTATTTTCCATTTTCGCTATAATGCCCCCTATTACTACTTATGTAGTTATAATACAATATTAGGCATTATTGACAATATGGTCGTTAAATGTGAAGTTGTTGTAATACAACGCTACGCATTATTGACGATATGTATCGTTTATTCTGTAGTTGTTGCAATACAACCGCAGGCATTATTGACAATATGTATTGTTTAGTGTGTAGTTGTAATACAACGCTAGGCATTATTAACATTATGCATTAATACGGGTGTTGTAAACTCGACCAGAATACTGTTCTGAGGGAACGTTTCCGAAAATGCTATTTTGCTTCAATTCCAATAGTTTAAGTCTTTTGTTCCTTTGGGGGGGGGAGTATATAAAAAAGTTAATTTTCCTTGTCATTGAGCAAACCCTCAAACTGACTCATTGTGTAAGTAGAATTAACGACTTCTGCTGACACGGTTTCTCACTGAAACATATTTTATCTAAGCAAATAATCGTTTACCATTTTAAACTGTTCCAATTAATCAATTTTTGATGTACACGTATACAAATCGATACCGCATGCATGTTTCTGGACAGTCAACCACAAGTATGAGACTATCGCCTAGATGCATGTACATTGCAAACGACCAACATGGTTATTGATAAGGAAAATAACTGTAAAATGGGATTTGTAAACAACAATTAATAATAGTATTATCTTTCGTAAGGATTGGCCTTATGTGCAATTATAAAATAAAAACCTCTAGCTTCCATTGGTCATGCTCACTTCTGGAATTTCGGGGGTAAAGATTTTTCATATAAAAAAATATCCTATAACTTTCTTTACTGTTTATACATTTTGTAATTCACTCATTGTACGTTTAGTAGAACGAATCGTTTGTCTGGCCTCATGTCTTTTCCATGATTCAGTTACGTCTAAGGATAGTGTACATGAGACTAATTCAGGCGGATTATTTCAGCACATGGGAGCAGCCATTTTTGTCTGCTGTGGGCTTAGATCTTCAATAACTTCCACGAGTAAAATCTCATAAGAAATTTCAGCAACAATACATGCAGCTAACATAAAAGTATGCCAACATTCTCTATCTTGGCATGTTGCAAATACAAACAACTTTACCTTCCACCAGTCGCTCTCAGAGCAGTGCATTATATATATATATATATATATATATATATATATATATATATATATATATATATATATATATATATATATATATATATATATATATATATATATATATATATATATATATATATATAGAGAGAGAGAGAGAGAGAGAGAGAGAGAGAGAGAGAAGAACATTGGTAAAACGGAATGACAGTATGTAACATTCTATTGGCTGCAGTAATTATATCATGTTAATTTGACAACACTAGAAATGGCATGGTTTTACAGTTGTATCAACAACCTACTCGAGTAAGACTTCATTATTTCTTCCAACTGAAAATTGACAAAGATTGCTTGCGGTTAGCGCTAAACATAGAAGAAAAGAAAAAAAAAGTTGATTAACATGAATGGTCATTGTTTAGAATGGGTGAAAGCCTAGGATATTTCCATATGCCTACAATTATTATGCTTTATGTTGATACAGTAGTCAAGTTGTGTGGATTTCTGCTGACAGACGGATACAGATATATTGGTGCTATTAAAATTCAGTTGACCAAGAGCAGACAACTCAAAAGACAAAAATTCAAGCAGACAACTATTGTCTCAAGAAACAACCATTCAAGCAATCTTACCATACAAAAGAATAGCCCTAGTACTGGATTTTTAGCCTCATAAAGATATGCATAGCCCACATATGTCTTTCAAGAATACGGAGGGATATGACGCTCTAATGTCTGTTATTAACACTAAAGAGGGCCGTGTCATTTATCTCCTCCGCTAGGAGGTGTCTCCCGGTAATTGCTCTTGTTTGAATGACACCTGCTATGATCAATACATAATTACTGCACACTAAAGCACTGTTCAGCTCAATACACAACCTCATATAAAATATAAGTTTAAGATGTGGATAGCATTCAGAAATTATTTCACACAAAATATCTTCGGACCAATTAGCATCTTTCTTCCGACCAATAATTAACAGAGACTATATCATTTTTTCTAAATCATTTTGCTGTTAGATCTGTGTGCAATGTATAGAACAAAAAAATGAGCATATATATATATATATATATATATATATATATATATATATATATATATATATATATATATATATATATATATATACATTGTATGTGTGATCAAAACTGCTGTACTTTCATTGGCCCCATATCAACAACATGCTGTGATAGTTCTATATCCTCCTTCATATTTTCAATCACTGCTCTATGGTATATATATATATATATATATATATATATATATATATATATATATATATATATATATATATATATATATATATATATATATATATATATAGATATATGTGTGTGTGTGTGTGTGTGTGTTCTGGTCACGTGACGTACTGAATGGAGATTTATTACCTGTCTCTTCTCTGCCCTCAAGCATTACATTCTGTACTAACTGACTCGCTGTTATCGATGGACTTGGTTGTTTTAGTTTCGTTTCATTAATTTAGCTTCTAGATAAATAATGCAATAAATTATTTATTAAAATAATTATCCAAAGACGCGTTCCTCCAATATCTTGGTTGTGTAGGACTACAACAAATTATTCAGTCAATTCTGTATGATATACCCTGTTACCTGAATATAGACAATTTAAAGCTCGTTGTATAAGCAATATCTGCCGATGGTAACATTTTAAATAAATGGATTTATTGTGCAGCTTCAGTAGCATTAGCTGCTAACGACTGTATTAAATCCTATGCAGAAAAGTATATATCTTTAAGAATGATTTTCGTAGTGTTCTTTCAGCGAATTTATTGCATCTTTGGATTTTCAAGAATGATTTCCGTAATGTTCTTTCAGCGCATTTATTGCATCTTTGGATCTTTAAGAATGATTTCCGTAATGTTCTTTCAGCGCATTTATTGCATCTTTGGATCTTTAAGAATGATTTCCGTAATGTTCTTTCAGCGAATTTATTGCATCTTTGGATCTTTAAGAATAATTTCCGTAGTATTCTTTTAGCGAATTTATTGCATCTTTGGATTTTCAAGAATGATTTCCGTAATGTTCTTTCAGCGAATTTATTGCATCTTTGGATTTTTAAGAATGATTTCCGTAATGTTCTTTCAGCGCATTTATTGCATCTTTGGATCTTTAAGAATGATTTCCGTAATGTTCGTTCAGCGAATTTATTGCATCTTTGGATCTTTAAGAATGATTTCCGTAATGTTCTTTCAGCGAATTTATTGCATCTTTGGATTTTTAAGAATGATTTCCGTAATGTTCTTTCAGCGCATTTATTGCATCTTTGGATCTTTAAGAATGATTTCCGTAATGTTCGTTCAGCGAATTTATTGCATCTTTGGATCTTTTAGAATGATTTCCGTAATGTTCTTTCAGCGAATTTATTGCATCTTTGGATTTTTAAGAATGATATCCGTAATGTTCTTTCAGAGCATATATTGCATCTTTGGATCTTTAACTTCGACTGCCGTAATGTTCTTTCTGCGAACTGTTTGGTTCATTAGAGTCACTGGAGACTTTAAACATGTGACTGTAGAACTCGAAATATATTTTTCATTCCAGTAACTCCCCATTTGACCGGTGCCGGGTTTAGACAAAGAGAGGCCCTAATTTATGGGAAGCTGTAGAGACCAGATTTGGTATAAAATAAATTTGAGAGGCTCCTTCAGACTGAGTTCAGACTTTGAGGCTGTAGCGTGTTTAGCTTATGCCTAAATCTGGCACTGCATTTAACCAACGCTCGTCAACAAATTTATGACAATAAATCTTAACCCAGAAGTCACTTTTGCATTAATTTACTTTAACTATTAAACAGAAGACCAAGACCTAATATTTGATTTTTATTTGTGCTGGTAGGAACGTAAGCATTAAAATCTGTTATATGGCAGGTACCGAAATTTAAATTTTGTATATACATTGTCTCCCCGATTATTAATATATTTAGATTGGTGTATTCATTTAGGGAGCAAGTAAGAAAGTATATGGTACGTCAATATTTTAAGTCGATAGGACAAATGCAAGATAGTAAAAAAGCCGTCAGATGAATCCAAAATGAAACAAGAAGAAGGTACTGTTGGATAGGCTGTATCATTGTAATCATTGACAACAAAAAGAAGAAACTAAAGACATCATGCCAATACATATCATATGAAACAACTTAAAGGAAACGTCAAAATATAGAAGGTTCTGTACATACATGTAGATCATAACAGGAATGAAGACAGTATATAACGTTTGATAGCGAGTTCTTGAAAAGAGCACGAAGTAATATAAGTACATATTCAAACATATTCTAAAATTCAAATATTATCACTTTTTTAATAAACGTGCTTTCCAAAAAATATCACTTAGTTTGCTTTGGGAAAACAAAGGCCCGTAAATTATTCCTTACAATGTTGTATAAAATTGAACTTTTATAGGATCGATACATTTATTACATTACAGCTCTTTCTAAATTGACAGCAATTTATGGGTCACCTTAAAAACTATTAAGACCTCTCCGGTGGCCTAGATATAGAGCGTCCGCCTCGGATGCGGAAGGTCGCGGATTCGATCCCTGTCCGAGTCATACCAAAGACTTTTAATATTGGAACAAACAGCTGTCTCGCTTGGCTGTTAGCATTAAGAGGTTAGTGTTAGGACTGGTCGGCCTGGTGTTAGGATAATGTGACTGTGTGGGACATCATGCTATGTATGCAACATGATGTTCCAGTGCTAAACATTACTCTAAACTATCACACTGCGGATATCATAGCAATATAACTGGATAATTTTTAAAGCTACATGAAAAATCTAAATCAGACGCACACATCGCACAAAAACTATTAATTATTGCACATCTTGAAAACTGAAGCACGAACTGTCACGACAAGAATGCTAGAACATAACTAATCTATCGAAACCTAAAGATTTGGTCACGATGTCTTTACTTAAACTTGTTTACATTGAATGCTATAAACATTCTCTATTTTTAAAAACAAACAAAACACAGCATATGTTGATTTGATTGGCTTTGTTTTGTTTTTCAACTGGAACAATTTATGTGGTACTTATGGAACCACAACAAGAAAAGACATTAAATGTTATAAAGGATGGACTGAGATTTGGCATCATGTGGATATCATGGAAGGTTTCTGTTTTTTTTTCCTGATAAGAGCTCAAATTAAATGTTTATAACTCGAATTCATATTAGTTTATTAGAAGACACCATATTTGTTCTTCCCCAACATAACCATGGATATCCGGATTTATGATCGTTAGAGGATTTTAATTAAACAATATAGTGTTCATCGCAACTAGTTTTATTAAAGAAACTAGCATAATATAAATAATAATTATTTTCAAGAAAATTATTTATTTGATTATAAAGTCAATAAAATCAAAGTTGATTATATGTTTCACTGTCCTTATGTATATATGCATGTGTGAAGTGATTAAACGAATGTATTTACTGATGGATGTAAGGAAGGTTTTATTATATGCTTGGACAATGTCAACAACGTATAACTGACAGAACTGGATTTACAACATTTCTTACTTTGAATCAGCTATTTAAAAGTCTTTAGCTTGAGACAACAAGATTTCATAAGCACTTTACTTACCTATGTCAAAAACAAAGCGGTCTATAATTCTCACGAACCATGATCCAACGTCTTTACATAGCTTGTTCATTTCCAAAACCCACACTGTAACTCCAGAAACAGGAATTTCACTCCAGATTGTAATATAATCCCAAAGACACGTTGAATACAAGATGTAAAAGCACAATTAATCCAAAGAAAAACGTCAACCGTAAATCTACACCAGAAGCCTAATAATGTGCTTGGATTATAACAACCGTAACACAAGGCCTGAAAATTATATCTACCTATATTTTATAAAATACTCTCACCTTTTATAAATAATCGCAAAATTAGTGAATAAAACTCAGGAACAGTGCAATCCTTGAAGATTTTGATTCAGTTTGTTTGATGATTCAATGAGAATATGCACTGAGGACATAACTATCGGATACGTTTTCTGAATGATTCTGTCGCCTAGGACATTATGGTAGCTCCAGTAAAAGGGCTTGGCTTTGTCAGTGATGTTAAGAGTCATAGAAGCAAGCTATCAAAAGTTAAACACAAGGAAAGAAACATCGTCAAAAGCATGCAAAACATATCTCATGCCCGATTACTGCGTATCGATCATTACTAATGTTGATGATCCAACTGCCTGTTAACGACATGTCTCTCTGTTCAAAGGTAATTGAAAGGTTGGCATATTGAAATAATAGATTTGATCATAGCAACGGCTACAGGGAATTAAGAACACCACGCTTATATACAAAACATGCTAGACATTTTGTCAACTAAATACATTGCTATTCAACTAGTTTTCCTTACTGGATTACACATTTATATGTTTTGGATCATTCTCGTAGGACATCAAAGCAAGTGAACAAACTAAGTGAACGGACACCTTATAATCATCGAGTTCTCCTTACGGCACCGAACTGAATAGTGGCATCAAGGAACAATACATTGCCTCGTTACTTACAATTGCAGGTGAAAGCCTTGAATGCTGATAATTGGAATCTAACATTCATGTCATACCTGTCATTCTTCAAAGTATTGACTAAACGCTATATTGCTCATAGTACTTTGAGATAAAACAGTACTCCATAAATCAGATCCTTAGGTAAATTCTCCCGTGCAGACTTTGATGAATCGATGCCGAAGAAATCCAACCCGTTTCATAGCTATTACATTAGTCTGTGACAGCCTACAAGGAAATGCTTGAGCATTTTGAAACCCTACCGTGTTTCGCTCTGATCCTCATATTTTCGTGCACAGTTGGTTCTATGAATATCTTTACAGAAACCTAAACCGATTGGATACAAATCTGCCATAGTTTGTCTTTGGGCCCAATGGCCTGCAACCCACAAAGTGGTCTGACAACATGCAGACGACACATTATCTTAAAATTCATCATGTCATCGAAGAGCTCACTGTGACAGTCTATCATCACGTAAACTGGATCAATCCGACTTTGATCGATTCTGTATGCATATATATATATATATATATATATATATATATATATATATATATATATATATATATATATATATATATATATTGACAAAGTTTGAAATATATTAATTTAATTGTATATTAAATAAATTGTCTCTAAACTTACGCCAACCAACTAAAGGAAATGCGAAACCGAATAATCATGACTGATTTGTATAAACTGTTTTTCATATAACAGTTTATCAAAAAAATTATCAGCACCATTTTTTTCGTCATCACTGTGATCAACACGATGCTTTATAATTTTTGCATTCTGTCATCACAGTGCAATCGTGTCACGGAATACATTTGCATATTTCACGTTGCAGCATTGAGTTATTTTTAATATAACAAATATAAACTAAATTGTCAGGATACATGAAATTACCGACATGTACGTTTTGCCAATACATTTTTGCTGGATCAGTTCAAGCAAACTTTATTTGGACCATGCCATTTTAGGTTTACGAACTAAAAACGTCATGTAATTCAGTCGTATTACACATTCAAAATGTATGTATGTATATTTGTATGTATGTATGTATGTATGTATGTATGTATGTATGTATGTATGTATGTATGTATGTATGTATGTATGTATGTATGTATGTATGTATGTATGTATGTATGTATGTATGTATGTATGTATGTATGTATGTATGTATGTATGTATGTATGTATGTATGTATGTATGTATGTATGTATGTATGTATGTATGTATGCATGCATGCATGCATGCATGCATGTATATATGTATGCATGTATGTATGTGTGTATGTCCTTAGTCAATGATATTGTTTATCTCAATAGGACGAAATTTGTTATCTTCATATCCATACCAGAGGCAGAAATAAGCACCATCGAAATTTCGCACGAATTAGAAAAGTAAAGCAAATATTGTTTCTCTATGACGAAGACAGAGTGGTCTATTCTTCTCATTTTTCTGGATTTAGACTTCTTGATGCTTGTAAAAAAAATTAACCCAAAAATGCCTCCAGTGTGAATTGGCGCTCAGAAACAATGTTGCATATTAATGTAGAAATCAAACTTTAATAAAATAAACGAGGATGCAGTTGTTTTATGAACTCATTAACTTTTGGTCAAAGCCATAGAATTGTATCTTGCACTATAAAAACACTAACACGAAATCATGAGATGAATGAATGAAAGCCATCAACAATTTATGTTGTGAACATTCTTTTGTTCATTTAATTTACGGCTTAAAGAGAAATCCCAGTTTAAGATGTGTAGACTAAGTCTTTTTCGCATCTGATGTTTGTGTAATAAATGTATTATATTCCTCGTGTATGTGCAATAACTTGTTATATACCTTATATATATATATATATATATATATATATATATATATATATATATATATATATATATATATATATATACGTGTGTCCACGTAGTAATTATATTATGTACATCATGTATATTGATTGATTGATTGATTGATTTAATTTTAACGGCGCACCAGCACTTTTAGGCTATTTATTAAATAAATAGTTATATACCTCGAGTACATGTGCACGCAATAATTATATTATGTATCTCTTGTATATGAAATAAATTGTTATATACCTAGTGTATATGTGCACGCAATAGTTATATTATATACCTCATGAATATGAATTATTATATACCTAGTGTATATGTGCACGCAATAATTATATTATATACCTCATGTATATGCAATAAATGTATTATGTCTTGTACAGTCCAGCGATCTCTCGGGTTTTTTAGTACTACGGTATTTGAGGTTTATGGTAAGTTTCTCTATAGCTCAACCGATCATGTACTTATTTTATATGAACTAGACTATAAGTTACCTTTTTATATACACTCGACTATAAATTACTGGATCACCAGTTTTATTTCGGGAAAATGATCGAACCGACCAACCTATTTTAAAAATGCAGCCATGAGCTTCACTTTTTCAAAACATGACCGTACGATATGTTCTCAAATAAAATCTATATCTTCTTAAACGTTATATTAATGTAACGAATCGGTTAACCAAGTTCGTCGACAGATAATGCCCAATACATTTATGCAAAAATTGATCACATGATTGCCATATTTGTCAAGAAGCAAGATCGAATCAATGGTAACAAATTTGAATCAAAATATGAAAGATTATTAATGTTGTTTTCTGGTAACTTTCACATTTGATATAGTTGACTTGAAATATGTTGCACATGAGTTATTCCTTTTTGTTGTAACACCTTTTGTTTAAACAGTCTGTGGTCGGCATGTGCTTTCATGTTCATGGTAGGGTACAGTTTCTAACCTACAATTCTGGCGCGATACGTAGTTACGAGGCATTGTTTTAATTCTCTCAGATAAGGTTCTGTTGTTGGAGGGCACAGTCTATAGAAAGAGAGCCATTGAGGTAGCATCCAATTTTCAAGCTGATATCACCTTTGTGCGGCATTTTAAGATCCTAACATTAGAACAAGTATTCGCCATTGCAAAGTATTTTTTCGATATCACCGCGATATAAAAAATA